TCCTCCCCAGCCCAGGTGAAGCGGCCGCCCAGGTGTAGCGAGGACCTCGGGCTAGGTCGGTGCCCGGCGTGGCCCTGATCCGGCCGCAGTTCAGCTGGGCGGGAGGGGGCAGATGGGTGGGGCCCGGGGCTGGGCTGACCCTTCTGCGGACGCCTACCTCATCCGCCCGTCTTCTCTTTGTTGGAGAGTTGGGCTGCCCGATGACCTTGGTTTAGGCTGGACCCCAGCATCCCCCTGCTGGCCAAGCCCACCCGGTCCCGCGAGCCTGGACCCGAGAACAAAGCTTCGGCCCGGCTGGGCTGCACTGCCGGGCCTCCGCTCCACGGTCAACCCGACCCTCGGACGCAGGCCACTTAGGAGGCTTGGTGCAGTGACTGCGAGGTTCAGCAAGGGACCTCACGCCGCCCAGATTTCCTCAGCTGTCCCATCCCCATCCCTTGAGGCTGTCCCTTGCTCAAGGTCACACAGTAAGCGAAGACAGGGCCAGGGCCACCTCGGCTCTTCGCCCCAGATGACTCCCGAGCTGGGGCTGGGGCTGGGGCTGGGCGGAGGAGCCGGCCTCTCCCGGAACAATGTGAGACCCGGGGCTTTGTCAGGACAGAGGCCAGGGACCCAGCTCTTTGAGGGGAGTCGTTCTGGAAGGAAGGGGCTAGGCAGAGACTTTTTTGGAGGCGGTTGCCATGGAAACCAGGCTGGAACAAAAAAAGCTAATTACCAGGGGATGGGGCAGCCACGTGGCTGACATGTAAATTGCAAGTTTGGCTCTAGGGTGGAGGTGTTTCTGCTGGAGACTCCCTAATCACGGAGACAGCTGCGCCTGCTTCAGGAGGGGGTGGGGGAGGGGAGGCTTGGATCAAATCGGGACTCCTGGGGCGGTGGCTGACAGCTGGCCTGGCCTGAAGGAGGGGCTGAGGACTCATTAACTGGTCACTGGGGCCTGGCCTGCCCAGAGCATCTGTTCCTGGTCTAGTGACCCTCCCTCCGTGGCCGGCCTGGGCCAGCACTATGATCCCACACAGGCTCATATTAGGCTAGAGCTCAGGGCTGGAAGTCCGGGCCCCACCCTCCCTCCGCGGGCTGCTGGACAGAGGCAGCATCCGAGAACGGGGCAGTGCTCTTAGCTGACTTTTCTCATCACTGGGGCCCTTATTCCTTTTGAACTATTTTTAATTTATGTTTGCTCAAAATGTTAATACCTGGGTGTGATTGTGCACACCTGTAATCCCAGTATCCTGGAAGGCTGAGGCAGGAGGATCGTGTTTGAGCCCAGCCTGGGCAACTAAGTGATACTCTGTTCTCAAAACATAAAGGACTGGAGATGTAGCTCAATGGAAAAGCCCTAGGTTCAATCCTAGTGAACAAAAAATCCCGATCTTTTGTAACAATGCCAATAGCAGAGGTGAATTTTCTTTAGAGTGAGTCAGTGTCTTCCTTTGCCACTGCTGGCCTAGGCACAGTTACAGGCTAGCTTCCCTGCCCTGGACGGTCCCCAGAGGCCAGCTTGAAGCCCCAGGCAATAAAGCTTTCCCTCCCACTCTGATAACTGAGTGTGGGGTGCGGGGGCTGCTGTGAGTGGAGGGATGTTTCCCTCCCATCACCAGAGCTGCCACTGCCGTCCTCGGGGAGGGGCTCTGGGTCTTTGGGTGCTGCTGGGCGGGGCACAAAGGGCTCTAGGGAGGGTTAGGGTGGGGCTTGGCATACTTCTTTCTTGCAGCAGTGACTCCGGGCCTTTGCCCCTGTGTGTTGTGGGGCACTGTGGTGGGGGGATTGGGTGTTTCCTGCGCACAGAGTGGGACCCCTGAAGCTCTGGAAGTTGGCTCCTTGCCGAGGACTGCAGGCTGGGGCAGTTAGGATGGGTGGCGAGCATGTGACACTGCGCCCCCACCCCGTGGTTCCTGTGGCTGGGTCTAGACCCCACCCATTCTCCGTTCCAGGGGGCAGTCTTGGAGCCGCCCTGCAGGGGTCTTGCAGGAGTCTTTGTCTGTGCCTGCCAGCTTCGGGAGGACTCGGCCCACTCCCGTTGCTGGGCGGGGCCTCTGCCGTGTGCCTCCGTGCTCCCTGGAGCCTCTGGGAGGATGCTGGGGCCTGGGAAGCTTGAGTCCGCTCCCCTTCTTCACTCCAGTTGTCTTCCGGGTCCTAGTTCGGGCAAAACGGTCAGCACCGCGGACAGCGCTACCCGGGCCTGCAACAGACCCTGGGGTCGGTAAGAGAGAGTAGGCCTGGGCCCTTTATCCACGCGGCCGTTATTAACTGATACTATTTTAAATTACATTTTTAATTAATTTTAAATACAAAAAAATTGTTAATATATTTTCTCTGTGAAAAATTGAAACAAGCCTGGAGGGGTGGTGGTCATGCCTGTAATCCCAGCACTTGGGAGTCTGAGGCAGGAGGACTGCTGTGAGTGTGGGGCCAGCCTAAAGTACATAGTGAATTCAAGATCAGCCTGAACTACAGAGCAAGACCCTGTCTCAATAAACCAAACCAAACCAAACCAAAAAATTGAAACACTGCAGAGCTGGGTGTGGTGGCATGGACCCACAATCCCATCTACCCAAGAGTCTGAGGCAGAAGGATTTCTTCTGCCAGCGTGGTAGTGCATGGCTGTAGTCCCAGCACTAGGGAAACTGAGGCAAGAGGATGACTGTGAGTTTGAGGCCAGCCTGAAGTACATGGCAAAACCCTGTCTCAGAAACAAAACTATCTGTGGATTTCAGTGGTGCTGTGCCTGCCTCAAAAGTGCAAGGTACTGAGTTTGATCCCTGGTACTGCAAAAAAAAGAAAAAAAAAAAAAAAACCCAAACCGAATTTAAGGGTGACAAAAATACACAAGAGAAGGAAAGAAATCCAGCCCCATCCTTGTTGAGTGACTTCTGAAAACAGTCCCTTAGGATAAACCACCAGACCCCTATGTGTTTTATAATAATTTAAGTGCTTTAGATTTTTCTTTTTTTTAAAACTTTAGGCTTTTTAGACATTAACTTTAAGCTAGTATTTTAAAAAAGCTGGAATGCACGTGACAAAATTCCAGCAGCACTGAAGGGTAGCAAGGAGAAAAGTGTCTGGGATCTGGTACAAGTGGGTGAATGCCGGCAAGCTGTTTCCCAGCCCGACTCTTCTGAGGAGCAATCTTTCCACCAGCACCTGGCTGCTAAGGAGAAGCCCTTTGCTTATCAAAGCCTCACACCATTAATGCATCCAAAGTCACTCCAGCTCTGAAGAGTGACCCAGGCATAAAGAGGTGACTTGTGGCCCTGGCGGCCACACAGCATGTGACTAGGGTGGCCTAGCAGACCCTGGCCCCAAGGAAGAGTCCCAGGTTGAGGGCAGAGGCTCTGCAGACTGCCCCTGGCCTGGGTGCCCATGCTCACACATGTGCTGACAACTCTATGACACATGCAAGAGGACACCAGGGCGTAGGGACTCCTTGTGAGCTGCTGGGACAGGTGGGGCTGGGCCCCACTGCTGAGTCACCATGACAGGAGCAGAGCTGAAGAGGTGCTGTGTGCTTCCCCCACCCAGGAGAAAATGCAGGTGGTGAGGAAATGAGCCAGAGCCGCCAGGTTCCCTGTGGATGTGCAAGGCGACGACCTCTATAGACCCAGCACCAGACACCTGCTGTGACTAGCTCTCGGGGTCCCTGTGGGCCCACTGCCTGGGGCCAGTGGTGTGCTAGATGTTACTGGACCCCATCCCTGGGTGGCTGTGGGCCCCAGGGTGCTCTGGGCAGAAGGCTCTTTCTGGAGCCTCTCCATGAGGCCAGGGGGAGCCAGGGCTTGAATTTTATGCTGAGGGCTGTGAAGCTGCAGGGAAGATTTTACCAGCCTTGTGGCCACCCACCAGCTTAATCTCTCTGTGTTGCAGTTCTGGGAGGTCATCAGCGATGAGCATGGCATTGACCCCAGCGGCAACTACGTGGGGGACTCGGACCTGCAGCTGGAGCGTATCAGTGTCTACTACAATGAGGCTTCCTGTGAGAACCTGCTGGGCCCTGACCCTGGGGAGGGGGCTCTGGATGGGCAGATAAGTAGCACCCCCATCCCAGAAGGTTGCCCAAGAGGCCGGCAGGCAGGACAGTAGGTCACAGTGACAGTCACCACACAGTGAGAGGCACATATATGGGGCAGTGGTAAGGGACAGGCAGAAGAATGGGCAGCTGTATCCTAGGGATCATGGGGGGCACAGGGCTTGGCCAGGGGCCATTTGCCCAGTGGTACAATGTGATTTCCATAGTACACTGGTGAAATATTACCTGGCCACAGGACCACATGAATCAGTGGCGAGGTTCATCATGGGTCCCGGATGTAGCATGACTGCAGGTGCTGGCAGCCCAGACAGGATTAAGAGGGAAGGAACTGGGGGGGGGGAATCCCTGTCCTTGTGTGGCTTGTGTCACCAAGCCCCGCTCCTTTCAGCTCACAAGTATGTGCCTCGGGCCATCCTGGTGGACCTGGAGCCGGGGACCATGGACAGCGTTCGGTCGGGTGCTTTTGGGCACCTCTTCCGGCCTGACAACTTCATCTTTGGTAAGTTTGCTCTGCCCTATGCTCCAGTGGCAGCAGCTGGAGCAGGGCAAACCCAGGGATTCTGGGGTTGGCAGTGATGCTTCCAGCAAGGCAGGTGGAGGGACACGGGCCAAGGCTGGCTTGTGTGCCCAGGTTCTTAGTTCCACCCCTGACACTGGGCACCATAGGGCTGGGAGCCTAGCACTCTGCAGAGGTAGATGATTGATCAGGAAGGCCTGAGTTGTAGCCCTTGACTTCTGCCCACCACCTTTTCCTCCTCCCTTCCCCTACAGGTCAGAGTGGGGCTGGCAACAACTGGGCGAAGGGTCATTACACAGAGGGCGCCGAGCTGGTGGACTCGGTCCTGGATGTTGTGAGGAAGGAGTGTGAGAACTGCGACTGCCTGCAGGGCTTCCAGCTGACCCACTCGCTGGGTGGCGGCACGGGCTCGGGCATGGGCACCCTGCTCATCAGCAAGGTGCGCGAGGAGTACCCCGACCGCATCATGAACACCTTCAGCGTGGTGCCCTCGCCCAAGGTGTCCGACACGGTGGTGGAGCCCTACAACGCCACGCTGTCCATCCACCAGCTGGTGGAGAACACGGACGAGACCTACTGCATCGACAACGAGGCCCTGTACGACATCTGCTTCCGCACCCTCAAGTTGGCCACGCCCACCTACGGGGACCTCAACCACCTGGTGTCGGCCACCATGAGCGGGGTGACCACCTCCCTCCGCTTCCCGGGCCAGCTCAATGCTGACCTGCGCAAGCTGGCTGTGAACATGGTGCCCTTCCCGCGCCTGCACTTCTTCATGCCCGGCTTTGCTCCTCTCACTGCCCGGGGCAGCCAGCAGTACCGGGCCCTCACCGTGCCGGAACTCACCCAACAGATGTTTGATGCCAAGAACATGATGGCTGCCTGTGACCCGCGCCACGGCCGCTACCTGACAGTGGCCACAGTCTTCCGTGGCCGCATGTCCATGAAGGAGGTGGACGAGCAGATGCTGGCCATCCAAAGCAAGAACAGCAGCTACTTTGTGGAGTGGATCCCCAACAACGTCAAGGTGGCCGTGTGCGACATCCCACCTCGTGGGCTCAAGATGTCCTCCACCTTCATTGGCAACAGCACAGCCATCCAGGAGCTGTTCAAGCGCATCTCGGAGCAGTTCACGGCCATGTTCCGGCGCAAGGCCTTCCTGCACTGGTACACGGGCGAGGGCATGGACGAGATGGAGTTCACTGAGGCCGAGAGCAACATGAACGACCTGGTGTCCGAGTACCAGCAGTACCAGGACGCCACGGCCGAGGAGGAGGGCGAGATGTACGAAGATGACGATGAGGAGTCCGAGGCCCAGGGCCCCAAGTGAAGCCATCACAGCTGGTGCGTGGGGCCATGTGGCAGCCAGGGCCAAGACGAGCGGCGTCTGCCCCAGAGCCATCTAGCTACCAGCACTGCCCCAAGCTTTGCTTCGCACCAGCTTGTCCCAGCACCCTAGGGCTCCCGAGTTAGAGTCCTCAGTATTTATGGCCACCCCACCCCACGAGTTTATGTGGCTCTGTCCTCCCTATGTAGGCCACCTCTGTTTCCTGTTGCTCTTGGTCTGTTTTATTGTGGCTTCAAGCCTGATGTTTTATGGTTTGTTTTTTACTGGTTGTGTTTATATTTTGGGGGGATACTTAATAAATCTATTGCTGTCAGATACCTGTGCCTACTACCTGATATTCCTTGTTGTAATGGCAGGCTGGGCCCAGAGGATGACAGGCAGTCCGCCGTCTCATAGCACAGCCCTGAGAGCTCCTAGATGTAGAGAGGCCATGGCCGTGACTGGAAAAGCCCCATGCAGAACCCCCGTGCGTCATGTCACTCAGGAACAAGCCCATACTGCCTATACTCAGGCTTAGTGCTCTTCCTGCTTGGATGCTGGATGGGAGGTACAGGATGCCCCACCAGGTCAGGGCCCAGCATGAACTGGGGAGGCTAGGAAGGGAAACCTGAGCCTCCCCAGGAGAAAACCTGGGAGGATGGGAAAGTGGAGCTGGGGTGTGGCCAAGGAACCAGGGAAGCACTTGTTCTGTTGGCCCCTTCCAGTCATCACTGGATGCTGCAGGATGTCCTGTGTCCAGTGGCACAGGCCCCCGGAGTCAGCATTGCCAGAAGAGATGCTCACTCAGCACCGTACTTCCTCCTACAGGGTAAAAAGCTGATGCCCACCAAAGAGCTCCACTGCCCAGGAACCCACAGTGGATGCACATTGCTAGCCTTAGCCCAGACTTCTCTGCGCAGCCTCCCTATGGCCTCTCCCTGAGAGCCACAGGTGGTATCCAACTTCAGTTCCTGTGCTGTGCTTGGCCATACCTCAAAAGTGGCTTCACTGCAGGTGGCCCCTTCCTATATGACCCTGAAACATGGCTATCTGTGTAGCGGAAGAGGTTGAGGGCAATGAGCTCACAAAGGGTCCTATATCTGCGATGCTGGCTCTGGTGCCAGCTGGGCGCTGGCGTTGCATGTGGATGGGACACAGATGGGCAATGCTGTGTTTCATTTAGCTCAAACCACCCTAAGGCTTAGTGACCTAAAATAGCAACTCACCTGGGTTAAGCTGATGATTTCTCCACCCCCTGCAGTGTTGCCTGGGATGACCGCAGGGTCTAACGCTTTGCCCTGGGCCTCCTCTCACAGCAAGTCTGACTGGCTTCATGTAATGGTTTGGACCTTAATGTCCCCAAAGGCCAGTGGCCCCAGCCTGTGGTGCTATCAAGGGGTGGTGGGCAGAGTAGGTTCCTGGTGGTGCCCTTGAAGGGAACATAGAGCCCTACTCTTCCTCTCTTATTTCACTTCCCAGATTCTGAGAGGTGCACAAGTGTCCTCTGCCGCACACCCCACCATGAAGTGTGATCTTGCCACAAATCCAGCAACAGCCACACAACCATGCCTGAAATGCATGAAACCATGAGCCAGGGTCTTCCCTGCCTGTCCACTCATCTGCCTATTCATCCGTCCATCCATCTATAGTTGAGTGAGAGAGCAGGAACTATATCCTCAGCCCCTTTCACATTTTATTTTGAGACAGACCCTACTAACTTGCCCAGTCTGGCTTTGAATTTGGGATTCTCCTGCCCCCAGCTTCCTGAATAGCTGGGATTGCAGGTATATGCTACTGTGTCCCACTCTTCTTTTTCCTTCCCCTCTCCCTCTCCCTCTCCCTCTCC